AACACCTCAACCGCCAGGATTCGGCCCGACTGTGGCGGGGAACTCTACCTTCTGGACCACCAGGATACAAAAGCAGTCTAGACTCTGCTATATTTCACACAAAGCCCCCATTAGAGGTTCATGGCGCCATAAGCTCGTTGAACAGGCTTTGTGAGAATATAACAAGGTCTAGGACTGCTTTATATCCTGGTGGTGTGGATTCCCCAGTCACAGTCATCGTGGCCTTGGGCGTGGGTTCGAATCTTGGCTGGTTGAGGTGTTTTAGCTACTGTACATAAAATATGTTTTGTTTTGTTCTTTGGAATATAAAAGAAACAGCCAAGATTCTTTTTTCGATAAAGGATTAAAGGAAAGATTTCCTTATTCCTAAGTCAATGAGTTGTTCGAGTGCTTAACTATCTATTACTTATTAAAGACACTTAGATCTAAACGTTATATTCTTGTTCAGGCGGAGAAAAGGTTAGAGAATCTTACAAAAGTTCAGCAACAAAACTAACGTGACGTTGTTGAGGATGTCAGTGAGCATCAAGAATCACTTCGGTGGTCAGTTCCTCCCACTGTACGAGTGACCGGGCAGGTCTCTCGCCCTCAGAGCGTTCTTGGGCTGGTCACTGAATAATGGGAGGGCGAGGAGGTTTGGCGTGGTAGATGGTCTCCTGCAGGCTGAGAGTCCACAGTGAGTGATGAACACCTTCACGTTGTCATGAGCTGCAGTACACAAGTTATGTCAGAGGCAGGAAGGTTATGGTCAAATGTACTTTAGATTGACCCCTTAATCAATACACGGAAAAATACTAAGTTTGCTTAAGAAAGAATTGGTTCCAGGATATAATCCTACAAAATCATCAAGTATTTGTCTATTCACAGAACCTAAAACTGTGTTGACATTGATGTAATTGGTCATATTTAAGTATTAAGAGTCGCCGTCTGTATGAGGACTTGCTGATGGACTAAGTAAAAGTCAAGAAAACATGTAAACATGTAATAATTTCACTCTTACTAGACATATGTGTAGAGGACATTATGATTTGACAGCCACACCTTTAATTGACCTGGATGTTTGTCACAGAAAGGAAGTGAAATGGATACGATAACGAAAACATAATGTATGATAAACATAAAAGAAGTAATTTTATAGTGTAGTTAGTAAAAGGAAATAAGGTGTGTCACTTATATGGCCACAACGGAACATATTTTACAAAATTCTGACAAACTGTACAAAAAAAAAAAAAAAGATGCAAGTGAACCGTTGGATGGACTTATACAGAGGGCAACAGTGACAGCACAAGAAGTAGTGGGTTTTCAACAACAAATATCCCAGACTAGACTCACCGAGAACATCCTGCTGGGGGAGCCACTTGCTGATCATCACGTTGTCGGGGACGTCCTTCAGCTCTCCCTCAAATTTCCAGATGACCCGCTGAGGTAACCTGCGGAATACCTGGAGGAAGATCTGCTGATACTCAAGTGGCAACGACTTACTGTCCATCACAGAACCCAGACTGAAGTAGATGACGCCCGCAGACCCAGCGCCATTGATCCAAGATTCGAGATCCTGTAAGACATCGAGTTGTAGTCAGCCAAGTTCTGGACACCAAGAATGTCCAGGGGAAGAAACGGGGAGGAAGCTTTTGTGCCTGTCACTGTTATATTTCCAGAAGGAATCACATTACTAACAAAGTATTTACAAAGATGTTCTGATCGCTCTGGACAATACAATAGTTTTATTTTCTCGTAAAGTACACTCAGTAACACAAGGTTGTAACATAGGATTAAGAAGATCTGGAATTTGATTGGCAGTAATTGGCAGACAAATAACCGTAAGGGCATTTACTAGAGAAGGTCACAATATGGGCAGTACGTGACCTCCAGCAGTAGTAGTTACCTAAGCCACCCAGCAGGCGTATTAGCTGTGACCTCCAGTAGAAGGACTTAATGAAGCCTCAAACAGAAGTACTTAATGAAGACTCCAGCAGGAATACTTAAGTGAAACCTTCAGCAGGAAAACTTAACAGTCATGCAGCCGAAGTACCCAGTTGAGCCAAACGGCATGATCAGCAAAAACCATACCTGTGGCATGCAAATGAAGGCTTACCTCTGGTATGGAGCAGAACACCTACCTGTGGCATGTAGTAGAACATTTACTTTTTTTTTTTACGGGCATTAGCCCACCCGGGCACAGGTCATTTTTAATGACCCACATCAAGGCCTGGGGTTCGAAAATATAATATAATAAAATAATAATATAAAATAATTATGATGATGATGATGATAATAATAATAATAATAATAATAATAATTGTCATAAAATTAATACAAATATATATTAAATAAATAACAAATTATAATAAAATAACAATAATAAGAATATGAATAAGAAAATTAGTAACAACATTTAAATTAAATAACAATTATAATAAAAAAATTAATAAAAATTTAAAAAAATTATCAATAATACCCCCAGTAATAAGAAAGAGCCATAAATATATACATAAACAAAAATGAAACGATATATGTATGTTGTGTTGTCCAAGTAAGAGAAACAATTGAGACCCAGCAATTGTGTGTAAATGAGGCAGAAAGTCAGATCAGCAACCTGGGACTTGGTCACAATTTTTGTGATGCCATATGGCAGCAGGGTCTACCATTAGACAAAACATTACGCTTCTAATATCTTCCCTGGCGGTAGTACCTCCGTTTGATAGCTGCCTACTTTCCTGTGGCGTGCAACGGAACACATTTACCTGTGGCGTGCAACAGAACACATTTACCTGTGGCGTGCAACAGAACACTTACCTGTGGTATGCATAAAAACACTTACCTGTGGAAGGGGTTTACCGGGACGACAGTGCATGGCGCCCACCTCCACCTGTGAGGGCAGGAGGGGCAGCGCCTTGTCCATGGAGAACTGAGTGTTGAGAAGCACCAGACTTGTGTTTTTCTCCAGGTCTAGCAGCGGCGGTAGGTCCGAGAACTGGGCTGAGATCTGAGGAAGGGCAGACGTTCAGAGAGCACAAGCCTCAATACCTTCACAATACCTAAGTTGTGGCTGTGAGAGACCCTGATCTAACCATCACACTATACACCTACAAGAATAAAACTCTTCAATATGAGAGGGAAGGTTCCTGTAATGTGTGTTTCGTAACCTCTGTGTTGTATATTGTTCTCTTTCAGTAGATAATAATTTACAGCTCAGTGATCTTTCTGCCATAAACAATGGACATGCCAGGAACGATAATTAGTTTTTTTCTCTACAGTTACACACGCAGACAGTGTGATATGTCAGCCTATCAATGCCGTCGTCGGAAAATTTACTGACAGGTGCAAAACTCACCTCCTTCTGTATCGCAGGCACGGTAACCCAATTTCTGTGCATATAGGAATATCCCACTTGCGCAATCATGTCCATCAAGAGGCCCCATGAAGGTATCAGAAAGTGTCGTTCAAACATGGCATTGGCGAGATAGATTGGGTGGAGGAAGTTGCCCAGAACAGCACTAAATAGCGGGTCAATATCTCTTGTAGACACCATGATGAAGGGGACCTCATGCACGAAGGGATAAATCATCTGCAGGGAAAATATTGTGTGTCATCAATGTTTTAAAGGTGGAGGTAATAGTGAAGTCGATGGAAGACTTCACAGGCATCAACAAGTGATACATTAACGTAGAACAAAGTTAAAAAATTCATTAATCAAAAGTTCTTTCAAAGTCACACAAATCTTGAAGGACTAAACTGACCCACACTGAATAGTCTGAGGAGTTGTTTTAAGATATTAATAACACCCAAAGACTCATAAGAGGGGGTAAACCTGAATAATCATAATGACCATAAATACCTTCACTACAGCGAAAGTGACACCTGAGATAGACACACTTACCTAAATGAATAGAAGAGTCAAGTTACATACGATCATATTAAGCTGTGGATGAAATTGAAGCTCTTTTCCATTTAAGACACTTTGTTAAATATAACACTGATTCCAGATACAATTTTCTTGATGACCATAAAACTAAAGCGAACTTCACTCATTTAATTGTACCTATGGAGAACAGAATCACTGACCTCACTGTATCTATGAAGAACAGCACTACTGACTACTTTGTATCTATGGAGAATAACACTACTGACCTGGGGGGCCAGTGGTAGAAGCGATACCGTTCTTACCTCGCAAGCGAGATGTCACGGGTTCGATTCCCGGGCCGGTGGAAGTTGTTTGGACAAACTTCCTAGCCCCCATTAGTCCCTGTTCACCTAGCAGTAAAGTAGGTACCTGTTGTAAGTCGAAAGTTGCGAATTCGTATTCAGGGAGTTGTTGGAGCTTCCAATAACTTGATGACATAAACCACTGACTCTTCAGGCTTCTACGCCATAAACTCATGAGACATAAAAGCAAGCATGAACTTCGCATGCTTCCCTGTTGGGCGCTGTAAACGCTTCTGCGCTTCACCTTACACAAGGATGTAGGGGGGTGCCCACTAAATAATAATTAACAAAAATAAAATACTACTGACCTGATTGTATCTATGATGCAGAACGATGAGATCAAACTCTTTCCGTCGTCGGTAAATATCTCTTACCGATGGCACCTTGTACAGCTTCCTGGCCATGACTATTTCGTACTCTTTTAGGAATTCAGCTGTTTTCGACGACCCTTTCAATTTGTTCATAAGGTCGCTCTTATCAAAACTGGGTCCCGGAATGCCGTGGTTAAATTCTCGGATATTTGGATGTTTGCAAGACTCTGTGTTGTTGGTAAGCATCACTATCTGTCGAGACAAAAAAAAATGGAAGTCGATATGTGAGGCTGTCTCAGATGAGCAATGCTGAGATAGAGAAATCCGACCGTAATAAAGATTTAGGGGTAATGATAAGAAGGAATCTCGAACCAAGACAACAATGAGTATTTCCTCGAAACAAGGCTAACAAAGTACTTGGGATCACACAAAGGAGTGTTAGTTACAAGACTAGCGAATATGACCTAAAGTGCAGTATATCTTGCACTTGTGAGACCTCACTTGGATTATGAGGCTCAGTTTTGGTCACAGTACTGCAGAATGGAATGGATATCGAATCCCTTAGAAAGCATTCGCAGGAGGTTGTCCATTCTAATCCTAGGTATTAGGATCCTTGAGCATAGAGAAAGATGAAAGCATCTAAATTTGCATTTCCACGAGAAATGCAGAGTGAGGGGCGATATGATCGAAATGTGCTGAACTCACTAGAGGAAAGATCACTGCCGATTTAGCTTCCGGAGATTAACTGAATGTCCAATCATCGATAGTGTTAGTTGTGAGTAGCTCCGTGCCTCTTTGAAGGCTGAGCTAGAGAAGGCCATGCACGAAAACTTGAGGTTGAAGAAAGTGATTGCGAGGATGAAGGAGAAAGATATGAGACGGGGGGAGTTTGTGTGTGACAACACCACAGGCCAGTGGAGGGTGATGAGGAGAGGAACTATGAAACTGGTGATGAAAAACGTCAACAAGGAAATGACAACAGCTAAGTGGACTAACTTGTTTAGTGCTTTAGTAGACGAAATTGAGGGTAACATAGTCAAGGACAAGGCTGACAAGGAAGATGCGAAAACCTTTATTGTTTGGGATTCTCAGGGAAGTTACCTAGATCGAGCTTTCTGTGGTAAAGACAGAAATAAGATGGAATTGTGTTTGCCAGGAGTTAGGGTGGGTGATATAGTAGACAGGATGGACATTTATCATTATCTGGCAAAGGGAACAAACCCATTATCTGCCTCAGTGAAGGAGGTAATGATATTGGCTGGTGTAGGAGTGAGGAGCTTCTTGATAAGTTCATAGCAGCTATTGACTGGATTAGGAGGAAGGGATGTAACCCTATCATTTATGGTGTCCTTCCTAGAAGGAGAGTTGGCAGTAAATGGTTGTCAAGGGCAGTTGCTGTCAATGAGTGTCTTGACAGATATTGCAAGTCAATATCAGTTCCATTCATTGACAACTGGGGCAACTTCTATGGCAGAAGGGACCGTTATGCCAGGAATGGGGTGCATTTATCTAGGGATGTGGTGGCAACCGTGGCTGACTCTCTCGAGATGGCAGTTCAAAAGATGTCAAAACCTTTAAACTGCTAGGGGAACATGTGAGCATGGGGGTCAAAGGTTACATAAAAATCATGCTCGGAATGGTGATAAAGATAAATTGGGCAGAGAGGACTCAGCTGACGACTAAAATAAATGTCTACTACGCAAACAGTAGAAGTATGAGACATAAAATGGATGAAATCAGGGCATTGGTATGTACCGAAAAAATGAATATAATAACATTCACAGAAACATAGATAAACTTATTCTCACGTGAGTTACCTGCCGAATACAAAATTAAAGGATACAAATTATTTCATACCGATAATCAGATTAGGAGAGAAGGAGTTTAGCAATCTATATCAGGAATAATTTGAAGTGTGATATCAATAAGAAAATAAAAACTGAACTGAATACAGGAACAATTTGGATAGAATTTACCAATGGTAGTGAAAAATTAATCATTGGGTAATATATAGTCCTCCTAATCTAGTTAGGGTTAATGAGCTACTTATTTGGGAATAAATATGCAGGGCATCCAGACATAGGTAAGTCTGTATAGTAGGCGACTTCAACTTTAGTCAAATAGATTACACCGCACTTACTGGTCACTCAGAATCAGAGTATTTTCTTAAAATAGTTCAGGACTGTTTTTTCAGTCAACATATAGCCTCACCCACCCGGGGAAATAATATACTAGATTTATTTCTGTCAGAGTAAACCTCATTAATAATGTCGATCTGGAGAGTGAACTAGATAACAGCGATCACAAAGAAGTGAGATTCAAAGTAGAACTTCATGTCAGTCATAAGAAAAATTCATTAAAGTCCCAGCTTTCTGAAGGGCAAACTTTGATAGGTTGAAAAGGCAGCTGAGAAAGGGGTATTACGCTTGGGGGTAACTACACGACCGTATGGGAGGTGGTAAATAATATGACCTCAGCTAATGTACCAACAGAGGTTGACTTCACTTACCAGGTGACCTGACAGTGATAAGTTCGCAAAATATGATCGTTCAGGGTGACCTGACCACAAGATATGAGGCTGACGAGTACAATAACAATGTAAATAATGAGTTACTTAATGCACATAGGCAGTGTATACTATACAGGAAACTCAGATCAAATAACATTGTCTTCAAATGGACAAAAAAATATTTAAAGAATATTATCGGACAAAGAAAGCCTATAGATAGGAGAATCAATCGTGGTGGCGTTTACCGCTGAGATTGTTATAGGGTTAAGACCGAGATAAGAAAAACAAGAGGAATACTGAACTGAAGGGAGCAAGGGAGGCGAAGTCAAACCCTAAGCCCTAAGGGATTCTTCCAAGTGTATCAAACTAAAACACGAAACAAGATTGGACCAATACAGTCAGACACCAGCGAGTTAAAGGATAGCAACGGAAAAATGAGCAATAATCTGGACTGATATTTCCTGTCAGTTTTCACCATCAAAAATTTCAAACATTATACCCGAAGCACGGAGTATCTACAGAAATAGTGAAGAAAATATATTAAATGAGGTAGAAGTGATTAGTAACGATGTTAGTAAACAAATAGATAAACTAAAATCTAATAAGTCGCCAGTTCACGACGGCATATTTGCCAGAGTATTAAAGGAATGTAAGGAAAAACTTTGTGTGCCCTTAACAAACTTGTTTAACATGTCATTAAAATCCGGTGTAGCACCAGAATCCTGGAGGATAGCGAATTTGATACCAATTTTCAAGAAATAAGATAGATCACTATCTACTAACTATCGTCCAATTAGTTTAAAGTCAATTGCATGCAAATTACTTGAAGCAATAATCTCAAACTCAATTCGAAATTACCCCCAGAAGCACAAATTGATCAATGATTTCTGGCTTGGCTTCACAAGTGGGCCTTCATGTCTGACAAATCAATTATCATTCATTTGAAATCAGTGGAAGATGGACTTTAGCAAAGCCTTCGACAGGGTCCCTCCACGAAAGACTAATACGTAAATTGAAATTAGTGGAATTGGAGGAGATATTCTAAACAAGCTTAGGGTGTGGTTACAGGACAGTAAATGGAGAGTCAGTATTAATGACACCAAATCCGATTGGGGTGACATCACTAGTGGAGTATCTCAAGGCTCAGTACTTGGACCATTTCTATTTATCATCTACATAAACGACCTAGATATAGGCGTACACAGCAACATATGTAAATTTGTTGAAGACAAATCTACAGGAAAATCTAAACAAAAATTTGTAAATGATCTGAAAATTGGCAGATTAAATTTAATATTGGTAAATGTAAAGTGCTTAGCCTAAGAGATGTAGAGAGGGAACCAACATCAGATGAAAAACGTTGATATGGAGAAATCTGAATGTGAGAATGATTTGGGGATAATGATGAGTAGGAATCTGAAACCAAGTCAAGAATACGTACCTTCTCGAAACAACGTTAACTACGTACTAGGGTTTATACAAAGGAGTGCTAGGTACAAGACGAGCGAAATTATTCTAAAACTATATCTTGCGCTTGTGAGACCTCCCTTGGATTGTGCAGTTCAGTTTTGGTAACAGTATTTTCAAAATGGATATCGAATCCCTAGAAAGCATACAGAGGAAGATGACAAGACTAATTCCGGGAGTCAGGGTTAAACAAAGGTGATATAACAAATGCACTTAAATTATCCAGCCAGGAGCAAAATTGAAGCAATCGTTATAAATTAGACACATTTTGATTTAGGCTGGTTTGGAAATAGAGTCGTGGATGAGTGGAACAAGTTACTAAATATCATCAATAACTCGAACACGCTGGATAGCTTCATATATAAGTTTGACAGATAATGAACGATAGGGATTGGGTGTAAACGGGACTTCCTAGTATAGGCCAATAGGCCCGCTACAGTTTCCTCCAGTCTTATGTTCTTATGTGAGGTAAACGCCGGGGTGAGGTAGACCACGTGGTGAGGTAGACGTCGTGGTGAGTTAGACCCCGTGGTGAGGTACACGCAGTGGTGAGGTAGACGCCGCGCCGTGGTGAGGTAGACCCCGAGGTGAGGTGCACGCCGTGGTGATATAGACGCCTTGGTGAGGCAGATCCCATGGTGAGGTAGACGCCGTGGTGAGGTTGAAGCCGTGGTGAGGTTGGTGCCGTGGTAAGGTAGACGGCGTAGTGAGGTAAACAGAGTGGTGAGGTAGACGCCATAGTGAGGTATACGCAGTTGTGAGGTATACGCTGTCGTGAGGCAGACGCCATGATGACGAAGACGCCGTGGTTAGGTAGACGGCGTGGTGAGATAGACGCCGTGGTGAGATAGTCTGTTGTAACACTGTGGTTAGCTAAGATCAGCTGGAATAATATGGGCAGCAAAGGTGAGTTGGAACAGCTGGAACAGCATGGTCAACTAAGGTTCAGCTGGAACAACACGGGCACCTAAGGTCAGCTGGAACAGCATGGTCAGCTAAGGTGAGCTGTGGTCTTACCTGGTGTCCACGCTCAGCCAGAGCCTCAGCGAGTGTCAGGAAGACATTTCTGTGGCTCTTGGTGGAGAGAGGAAGAAGCATAAGGATGTTGTAGGATCTCTCAGGTGGCGGCAGGGCCTCCGCCACGCACCCCGCCAGGGTCAACACCAACACACACAGCGCCAGCACCTTCATCTGTGGACACCAATACGTCTACTGTACTAGGCTTGATAAACAGAGCATGTCCCTGGTTCTTTATCAAGACATCCTACTGAAATGAAGCTCTTCTTATTCTGTAAGCGATTCCTCGCCACATTGTCGTCAAGAGGCTGGCAGTGTCATCGAGGCTTTAGGGAGAGATATGCAGTACACCTTTTCACATATCCGTTGAGACATTATTACATAACTATTTGACAAATTTCATAACAAATGACAGAACATATATCGAATGACAATCTAAAATAACTGTTCGTTCATGCTAACGGAAATGAGTGACATAAGTTATGAAGTTGACAGACGTGAACAATAAGCCGACAGCCGACATATAGCTTGAGAATGTAACAATTGGAGAATGACATACCACCAACAGTTATTTTAGATTGTCATTCGATATGTGTTCTGTCATTCGGTTATGAAATTTGTCAAATAGTTATGTAACAATGTCTCAACGGATATGTGAAAAGGTGTATTGTGTGTCGTCTCCATACTCTCTCTCTCTTTCTTTCTTTCTCTCTCTCTCCCTCTCTCTCTTTATTCTCTCTCTCTCTCAGATCAAAATTAAGGAGTTTCTCAGTTTAGAAGAAAAACAAAATTTAGGTTGGTAAAGGACGCACAAGGAAAAAGGTTTTATGTGAAGCAATGAGAAGTGATGTATACAGTCTTTTAAGTCATATACAGGAACAGACAAACCTGGAAAATACATAGTTATGCACATATACATCAGCATGTACACACCAGAGATAAAATGCATATGTACTCATAGAAAGATATCGGTCAGTTACACGTATACAGAGTCAACTTAGGCGTTGGAAGGATAAGTATTTAAAGAGATTCTCAGGTGCTTACAGTTCACCCAGCTGTAAATGGGTACCTAAGTTTACAGCTTTGGGAAGAGAAAGCTTAGTATACAGTGTGCTGTACCCACACTTTCCCTTACAAGCTGTCATTCCTATGGGACCCACTTTCAATTTCGTTGATTTATCCGCCAGGGTCAAATTTATCACGTACTCTAAACAAAATTAGAAATGAATCATAACTGGACATTCTTATTGGAGAGTGTTATACCTGGTAATTACCTAACCTAACTCTACCTTAACCAAATCTAATGTACACATTCCAGATGGGTTATATATTTTGTAGTATTCTACCTGTATAAATTAATGACTAGTACCTGTGCATTATCTGATAACTAATAACTGGAGCTGTCCTGTCGAGTCAAACGCGATTATGATAACACGAGTCATAAATGATAACAGCAAGAATAGCCAAACTCGAGTGTTCAAACGTAGCTGGATATGTATTTAAAACACAACTAATCACCTCACAACAGATAAAAGATACTGCAAAGTGTAAAGCAATATAGCGGGTGATTTAGCAACAGTGGGGTATAATGGTCAGCTGTCTGCCTCCCACCACATGCTGTACTCAATACTAAAGGGGACCGGTGGTAGAAGCGGTACCGTTTTTGGCTCGCAAGCAAGATGTCACGGGTTCGATTCCCGGGCCGGTGGAAGTTGTTTGGACTTACTTCCTAGCCCCCATTAGTCCCTGTTCACCTAGCAGTAAAGTAGGTACCTGTTGTAAGTCGAAAGTTGCGAATTCGTATTCAGGGAGTTGTTGGAGATTCCAATAACTTGATGAAATAACATGAACTCAATACTAATTTTATTTACACTCTCAGAAAACCCTTAACTTGCCACAGTAATCTTGCTTCGGTCGTCTTCTGAACCACAACACTGAAAGTTAACTCTTCTCCTCTATAGTCTATTATTGGATCCTAACATATACTCTCACCTTAAGACAAATGTTTTTGTTTTTTCAAACAAAGTCTCTTGCTGTGTTTTGTTTCATTAGCTTTTAATTACTGTTCTGTTCTGCTCTCTTCCACCCAACACGCTATAGAGGCAGTTGGATTTGTTTTATGAGCCACCTTGAGCTTTACGTCACTGCTTTCAGGTGAAAAACAGCCACAGCCACACTCTAATCTGTAATACTCAGTCTGTATACTTTAATTTTATGTAGACTATAAGTAAAATGTAAAATTCTTGCTTACAACACATATTGTGATGTGTGTGTGTGTGTGTGTGTGTAGTAATAATAATAATAATAATAATAATAATAATTATAATAACAACAACAATAATAATAATAATAATAATAATAATAATAATAATAATAATAATAATAATGATTTTTGAAAAGCTTGAGCAGCCCGAAGGCTGAGAAAAAAAGCATTGGACAGAAATGACTTCTTACATGCAAAAACATGGGGTCGTGGGTCGTTTAGCAAAAGCTTCCGTTATAAAAGGAGAAGGAACACGAATTGAACATACAAATTATAGTTTATAGTTGCCCTGCTGTGTGCGGTCACGTTGGCCACGTGGTGCAGTAACTCGTCCATAGTGTTTGGTATTCTTGTTAGCTTGAAGTTGATTTTTTTACTTACTCTCCTCCTCCTCTTGCTCTCTTGAAGTGTTATTTACATAGACTTTAGCAATCATTTCAAACTCTATTCGAAATCACCTGGAGAAGCACCGATTAATCAATGATTCCCAGCATGGCTTCACAAGCGGACGTTCTTGCCTAACTAATCTATTAACATTCTTTTCATCAGTTTTCGAATCGGTGGACGAGGGGCACAATTATGATGTGGTATATCTCGACTTTAGCAAAGCCTTCGACAGAGTCCCCCACGAAAGACTAATTAGAAAGGTAGAAGCTCATGGCATCAAAGGTGACATCCTTAAATGGATTAGGGCGTGGTTACAGGACAGGAAACAGCGAGTGAGCATTAACGGCACTAAGTCCCATTGGAGCAACGTCACAAGTGGAGTTCCCCAAGGCTCAGTACTTGGACCATTATTATTTATTATATACATAAACGACATAGATATCGGCATTGACATCAACATAAGTAAATTTGCTGATGACACTAAAATAGGACGTGTTATCAAATCTGACGAGGACTAGGCAAAACTACAGGAAGATCTAAACAAATTTTTCGAATGGTCTGAAAAATGGCAGATGAAATTCAACGTCGACAAATGTAAAGTACTCAGTATAGGAGTTGTAAACAGGGAAACCAGATACCAGATGAACAACGATGCCATAGAGAAATCCGACTGCAAGAGAGATTTAGGAGTAATGATAAGTAGGAACCTTAAGCCAAGTAAACAATGTGTTTTTGCTCGTAACAAGGCTAATAAAGTACTTGGGTTCATACAAAGGATTGTTAGTTACAAGACTAGCGAGGTCATCCTAAAACTGTATCTTGCTTTTGTGAGACCACACCTGGATTACGCAGTTCAGTTCTGGTCACCGTATTACAGAAGGGATATAGAATCCTTGGAAAGAATTCAGAGGAGAATGACAAGACTAATCCCGGGCATTAGGAACCTTGAGTATAGAGACAGGTTAAAGCATCTTAATTTGCACTCCCTTGAGAGACGTAGAGCGAGGGGCTACCTGATAGAGGTGTATAAGTGGAAGGCAGGGCTAAACAAAGGGGACATTACAAAGGTACTCAAACTATCCAACCAGGAGCGAACTCGTAACAATGGTTTTAAATTAGACAAATTTAGATTTAGGCGTGATATAGGTAAACACTGGTTTGGAAACAGAGTAGTGGATGAATGGAACAAGTTATCAAATATCATCATTAACTCGAATACGTTGAATTGCTTCAAACATAGGTTGGATGCTCATATGAGCAATAGGGGTTGGGTGTAAACGGGACTGCCTAGTATGGGCCAATAGGCCCGCTGCAGTTTCCTCCATTCTTATGTTCTTATATTCTTATAGGTGTTGACTTTAGCAAAGCCTTCGGCAGAGTCCCCCACGAAAGATTAATACGAAAAGTGGAAGCTCATAAAATTGTAGGAGATATTCTAAAATGGATTAGGGAGTGATTACAAAACGGAAAACAGCGAAAACCATTGACGGCACTAAATCCCATTGGGGTAACGTCACTAGTGGAGTACCCCAAGGATCAGTACTTGGACCATTACTATTTATTATATAAATAAAAGACATAGATATCGGCATAGACAGCAACATAAGTAAATTTGCTGACGACACTAAAATAGGGCGTGTAATTAAATCTGACGAGAACTCCGCAAAACTACAGTTGCTACCTGACCCGGTTTCATGACAAAACCCCAACGGACAAAACCCCAACGGGATGTCATTTGTCAACACTAACCTAACCTAACCTAAGCTTAAAAGTGTATTATTTTATATTTTATATATGAGACTGGGGTTTTGTCCGTTGGGGTTTTATCCGGTCACCACCTGACCAGCAGAGGGACGG